ATACGCTCACCGAAAGCAAGCTTTCACAGGTTTTCTCGGTCTCCCTCGTTACGTCACATTCCCCTCTCGGTTAATTTCCGTTCGTCCACATGTTCCTCGCATCTTTCCCTCGTTTCCCGTTAAAACATTCACGCGGCAATTTACTCTCGTGTTCTCCTTTTCGTTTGTATCTACCGATGCAGAAAATAGTTTGGCTTCAATCGTTTAATGGATTGTTCCGTTAAAAAATTGGTTAAATGGTAGCTCGTAAAACCTGTTCTAAATCCGGTGTCGAATCGTTTTTTTGCGAACGCGGCTCGACGGAAAAGACAGCCCCGGTTCGAGCATGGAAGTACGCTCGGTACACCGCGAATCCTTCTCGCCCTCGTTCGCTTTAGTCGCGGCGTATTTAGAAAAATACTTTGTCCGAACGGATAGATCTAGATCTAGATCGTCGTTATAGATATATCTAGATCTAGGCCGTTGTAAACGCAAACGATACCGCGCCGGTTGCCGCCTCCATACTCGAGACTGGAAGCGTTCGCGGAACTGCTGGCACGAAACTAATTCCCCGCGAAGGACGTCTATAGTAACGCGTTTACGAAATAGTTGATCGTCAACGGATACACGCCGAATCGTACGAGCAAAGAGTGAAACGTTTATACAAGTACTGTTAGCCGGAACGCGCGCGCGGTACGACGTCTCTAGCGTGCGCGATACGTAGGTACCTCTGTACGTATCCTTACATATGTTATCTAGCAACTTTTACAATTAGTATTAATACTACTACCGTGGTGCCCTGGCTGTCGGCGAACTACAAACGCACAAGCGCTAAATCGTTCACGGTGCTAGATTCGAATCAAAACTATATCGCTCGACAAAATACGCAAGACGGAACATGCGGTGCACTATTTTCATCTTTCTCTCGTTTCGTGCATAGGACATTTCTCGCGCGATTCGAATGAACATTCACGCAAATTCGTCGAAACGATTCCCCTCGTTTCGAACGACGATGCTGCGTCGCGCGTCAACTCGATCGGGCCAGATCGGATCACGTCGATTCGGATTCGGATTTCGATTCGGATCGAATCATTTCGAACCTAGGATGATCAGCGAACGCGCGTTTCTTCCGAATTTTAAATCTATTCTTCAGCGAAATCAATAGAAAAGCTATATACCAAACACGAATCGATTTCGATCGGCACGAGAATATCTCTCGGTTCTCGATCGTTCTCTTCTATCTTCTTCCTTACTGCCTACGTCGTATCCAGAGTTGGGAAATTTTCTTCTCTCTGTTTGATCGCTCGTTATCGATTGGGCTGTATGCTTGGAACGCGTTAGGAACCTTGATAAGGCAACGAACGAGCCCTTTGTGTGTGTGTGTGTGTGTGTGTGTGTGTGTGGTGTGTGTGTTCTTTTTTTCTTTTCTTTTACGAGACGAGTCCTCTTCCAAGTTTAGCGCTCGTTCATGCTTCTTACGATTCTCGTCTAATCTCGTCTAATTTCACGCGCACGAAAGCATTTTCAGTGATTCTTTGGTAAGAGAGAGACCCGGTGCCCGTATGATTCTCCTTTTACGCATCTCAAATCGTTTTATCCCTGTATCGATTCGTCGCAATTCTAGCTTTATTCGACGCTTTACATCGTACGTTGATATAGAAGATCGCAAAGCACAAAAATCTCGCAAAAGCTCGTGCCGCGTGGTTCGCTTCGCAATCGTACCGCTATCGAATTTAGTTAACGTCCAACGAACCGTACCGTCGCGGGCACGTAAATCAAAGGTTTCTCCCATGGTTTGCTACGCGATGGGTATAAATTTCAAACAGCCGCGCGACCGGGAATGTACGAAAAGGAAACTCGAACGTTTGAGAAAACTAGAAACAATACGCGACCGGATGATCGTCGAATGTCGGGGAAACTAATTAGATACGTTGATATTGATCATTGCCGCGTAATTTCGCGTATGACAACTAATCCCGGACAATAGCTCTCGAATAGTGCGAAATCTATGACACGCGTTTAACATCGAGAAATATCGAAATTTTTTAGGACAAACGTAGGGATGATCGAGTAGAATACAACATTCGTAAAGATCAGTATTTGTTAACAGACAAAATAGCAATTTGTATACAAAACTTTCTCCAAACAATTTCATATCACAGCACTAGCTATAAATACAACGTTGGAAAGAGAGCTAAATAGGAGAGCCGAGCCAATGTTACGTTAAAAGGACGAAAGAACGCATCGAATGAAATTTTGCGCAAAAATTGCATGCACTGCGAGAATCATCGGACCGAGGCTCCATCTTGCTTTTCCCATTAATATTTTCACGACAGAGAGCTTAGTATGCTGCGCATCGAAGGTCAGATAGAAACAATTTGCCGAGAGCAAAACGGAAATAATTTTTCACAGTCCTTTGTAGCAAAAACAGCCGCAGACATTTCGCTGCGGTCTATTAAATGCTTCGGTTCTTCTATATCACATGTGCATCAATTTTCGCACTTGCTCGTTTACAAAATGTTGTTCACTTAGTTCTTAGTTATTTTTTTTTTCTACAGACAAAGACGCGACGCGATATTTAACACGCCAATCGTTATTGTCGTCGTCGTCGTCGCTGTTGTCATCGTCGCTATCGTCATCGTCGCTGTCGTCGTCGTTGTTGTAGTAGTCGTCGCTGTCGTCGTCGTCGTCCTCTTCATCTGCCTTCTGTTATTTTTCTTGCATTTAATAGCGCGATCGTCACATCACATGTGTGTATATATACATAGACATACGGTGTGTGTATATATGTATACATATACGCAGAGACAAGAACGAATCACCCTCTGATGATTGACCATGCCGTATACGGAAAGTAGAACGGATCAACCATCCATTCGTGATGTCGTCGATGACAGCGGAGGGTGCGGATGATGTACCAAGGCCGGAATAGCAGCTGCGTCAGATTGCTGACTGCCGGTCGTAACCGAACAAGGAATAGGGTGTTGCTATTTCTTGGTCGGCGTACCCCGTTGGGTTAATCCTTCGAAACGTTTGAACGTATAATTTATGAATACCCAGTCCTTGTAATTCACTTCTCCGTCCTGAGGCATCGGCGCGGATGCTAGAATCGCCAAGAAAGTCGATCGTTTCAGTTTCTATTTCAATCGATTCGTTCAGCGACAGGGACAAAGCAAGTTTCGCGTACTTACGTATCTCTAATTTTACATCCGGGAATTCGTCGAAATTTGAGGTGTCGTCAATGGAACGTACCTCGACCGGAATCGCGGCCGGTCTCTCCCTGATATGTTCCCAATCAACACCGCGGAAGAACGGCGCTAACTTCAGCTCTTCGATACCTCTTTGCGCACCTAAAACACCATGGAAATCGTCAGCCGCCGCGCGCGTGCCTAACCGAACGTAATCGTTTCGAAGCGCTATGTAACATTCACGTAACAGATGAATCGAATTCTTGTCCTCTTTTCTTTTCACTTTGAACAACATCATCGTGATATTCACCTAATCTTCTGTCGGCTTCGCAACAAAACCTGATTATAGTGTCCTTAGCTTCCTCGCTAATGGGAATTTCCGGCGGAAATACCAAAGTCTCTCTCCAATTCATTACTTTTCTGTACGTCTCTTGCGGATTCTCGCTGCAGAACGGAGGATAACCTGAACGAGAGGAATGTACAGAATTGAAGGCACAATTTAAAAATAGAATAAGCTACAGAGAAGTCAAGTACACGGAGTCGACTGATTACCTATTAGCATTTCGTACATGATTACCCCCAGAGACCAACAATCGCAAGCTGGCCCGTAACCAGTCTGCAAAAACACTTCTGGAGCTATATAATCGGGCGTCCCCACCGTGCTATAGGCCAGCGCTCTTCTGTTTCGTTTCCAGCTCTCGGCTCTCCTTTTGCTGTCCCTCGCTCCGCCGCTGCCGCTGCCGCAGGACGTCACTGTACGAAAAAATACGCCGAATGACGAGCGCCGTGTCGTTCGCGTAAACGCGTTCCCGAGTTCTCATCGGAAACCCGGCACAGAATACTCACTGAAATCAGACGGTTTCGCCTGACTGAGATCTCTGTAGAAATCGGTTCTGTGCGACTTCTTCAGTCCCGTGCACAGCCCAAAATCGGAAAGTTTAATATGCCCCCGTGCGTCGAGCAACAAATTGTCCGGCTTGATGTCTCTGCGGGAAAAGCGAGCGTCATCGAAACGAAGGGAAGAGGCAGGACTTACCGATTGTTCGCGCTTACCTGTGAATAAAACCAAGCTTATGAATCGAGTCGATCGCCAAAGCCGTCTCGGAAATGTAAAATTGCGTGCATTCCTCGGAAAGCGTATCCTTCTTCATCAGCAGTGTCATCATATCACCTGGAATCACACGATAGACGAAAAATGGTAGACCGAGATAATCCGACCATGTTCGTTGAAAGAATGCTTACCGCCCGGAAGAAACTCCATTATCAGATAGAGGTTTATAGGATCCTGAAAGCTGTAGTACATTTTCACAACCCACTGATGATCCGCTTCCACCAGGACATCTCTTTCAGCTCGGACGTGCGCCACTTGCTCCTTCTGCAGCATATCGGCTTTTCTCAGAATCTTCATGGCGTAGACGTGTCCGGTGTCCTTCTTCTGCACGAGTCTCACCTATTCCGATCGGCAAAGTGCAGGTTAATTCGAGGTACTGTTGGATTCGATTCGATCGAGAGATTCGCGAGCGGTAAGACGGAAAGACGAGAACCTACCTCTCCGAAGGCGCCTCTGCCGATCACTTTGAGCGGCTCGAAGTCTTCCACGCCGAGTCTGGAGCGCTTCAGACGAAGGAACTCGGTCTCCTTCTGAGCGTGCTGCAGCCGCTTCTCTTGCTTCTGTTGCTCCGAGAGCCCTTCATCTTTCAATGATTCCTCTAGCTTCGCGAGCCTCTGCTTGCGCTCGATGTGCTGGGCTATCAGATTACTATAGTAATTCTCCAACGTCACCTGACCACGTAAATGCAAATATAAGTGGAGCGTGCGTGCGTGCGCCGGGGCGAGGGGGGAACCGCGAGAGAAACGGCGAAAATCCGGGGGGGGTATCGAAGAAACGCGGAAAACTCGAGCCTCACCTTGGCCTTCGTAGCCTTGTCCAATGTGTGGCCGCTAAATCGAATCGTGCTCTCCGTGGCCGCCATCTCCAACACCCCTGTAACATGCGTGCAAAACGAGGTCAGGACAGTGTCGCGCACCAGTCTCCAGAGCCGAGGTGATCTCGCGCCACGACACTGACACGGATCCTTCCGCGCTGGATTCTCTTTCCGTGAAAACGCCGGCGCGACGATCGGAAAAACATTTCCAGATTCGCGTCGACCCGACTTGTCGCTTGTGCCAGCGCATCCTTCCGATGCCTTCATGCTCTTTCTTACTCTACTACTTCCGAAAATCGTGGACACGCTGAAATTATCTTTAAAACAGACGCGTTTCTCTGGAAGACAGTCGGGATGACAACGAATTGAGTGGCTTAGAAGCCAGCACGGTTTTCGAATGGAGTCAATAATATTCTTTCTAGTTATTTAAGGATTTGTTTCTTTGTGCCTTCTGGATCGGGAAGGCCTTGTTTTTATAGCTTCTGAGTACGCTGTGTAATAATTATATATTAACAGATCTACCGAGAACTTTACCTGACTTTTTCAAATTTCTTCGTGAGAGCCACAATTATGCAGTCGTTACGATTTCAATTGGGTATATATCGATTTAGGTATTGCTACATCAGATTGCTTAATCATTTCTCAAAGTATCTACACCTTTTCGGTAATTACGAAGGAAATGAGGGTCAGGGATGGGTCAACCTTCGACGAACTGACCATTCGAATTGAACGCTGCAGGCACGTCGGCAGCTTTTCGCGTAAGGTTACGGTGGATTCATCGGAAGGACACTATTTTCACGTTCCACGCGCTCGCCCTCGAGCCGTATTTCGCGATCCGATCCACGCGGAACTAGGGAGTAGGTACAATGACGTCACGCGCTGATTACATTACGGATTACAAGGCCGCATTAAACTATTTCAGAAGCCTTACTCCGCGAGGCTCTGTTGCGTTCAGTCTGCAAATAAAAGGTAACGTAACACGCGAGGAATGTGCAACAAGGAACAAAAGAATTCTGGAAAAGGACGAATTGCCCCTACCAATGCGAAACCAGCTTTCACGCGTTTAACACCTCGACTGCCGAGTAAACACTCGTCGAAACTCCCATGCGGTCGGAACAGATTCCTTAATAAAGCAGTTACTAAGGAACCAAGGAAATGAATATTCAAGTTTACGTAAAAAACCGGTGTCACCGAAATGTGGGCGACGTGGCAGTCGAAGTGTCGAGAGAGCTGAAAAAACAGTCGTTGTCGTTATCACTGGCATTGTTATTATCGTTATCGTTGTTTTTATCCATTAGCCATTAGACATTGACCTTGGATTATCGTAGTCGGTTGCCATCGATGATTCATCCATTCAGCGGATCGGCGTTAGATCGAAAGAGAGCGAAAACGAATGGAAGGAGGAATACTGTTAAACGAATACGCGCGGTGAGCAAAACAACGGATACTCGGCCAACGTCGACTGTGCGGCTTCCGCGCGACAGTAATTACGCAAACATGATTCCGAAAGCTTTGATAAGGGAACCGAAAAAAGTACGCTCCGCGCGACGTCCGATACTCCTCGGACACCATGTATCGAGCGATACTGTCGTATTCTTGGAATTCAACGAGACATGTTCCCTTCGAGTCCTTCCGAAGGATCGGTTTTAATTGGGTTGCTTAAATTATTTCAACGGAAGATATTTACGGAAACGATTCCTGACGGGAGCGTCGATCGGAAAAGCGAAAGAAACTACGGTTCCGAGTGGAACTGTCGTGCCTCAACGAACGATATTTACGGGAACGATCCGGAGACAGAGTTCGTTTAAATCCGTCGCAATTACGGAGCCAGTCGGCACGGCCGTGTTCTGTCATTCCGAGTGTCCGCGCGGTGAAACGTCTAGAAAAAGCCTGGACGAACAAGCGGGCGAGTACGGCGACCATCGAGGAGGGCATGAGTCACCTATGCAAGCGTAGGCGTCGATGGTAACGCGCTTATCGCTGCGAGTGCTTTTAGAAATTATTTACGTTCAACGATCGTGTAAATAATGGAAGGCGTGCTGCTGCTCCTCGAGCGGCTCGCGTTCAATGCGCCTCTGCCCGAATCGAAACGGAACGGAACGGAACGAAGCCGAGCGAAGCGGAACGGAACCAAACGATGCGGTCCTATCTGTAATTGCATGTACGGTCGCTAAGTAATTGCGAGAAACTCGTACTCTGCCGTGTAATGGAACAGAGTCGGAGAGTCACTTGGCTGTGTATTTTCGTGCGTGTCACTTCGAGTCATCGATCAAGAACGACCACCTGAACCGTTCTATCCGAGGGCGTCCAACCCCTCGGCTACGGCAGAATTTTGCGTCAGCGCGCATTTCTAAGGAAGCGTATCGAAACACCGGATTGGACCGAATCGAGCCAATTGAATTGATCTATGCCAGCCGCAATTATTGCCGATATTTTACGCCTATGGGCGCCAACGGCGCACCGAAAGCAAATTTTTCAAGCGCCTGTGGCCGCCGACGGTTGCCAAGGGGTTAATCTGCGACCGTTATCGATCGTTCGTGACGATCGATTAGATTCAAAGAGGCGACTGTCGTCGGACGAATTTTTACCGAAAACTTTGTCTAACCTTCGGGACGGTTCTCCAAGGTGAAACGGATATGGAGCAACGTCGTTTTAAAGCGGTTGGAACAGTCGAATCCCTTCGGTTCGCGCAACGAACCTCTTTCGACTCGTCCCGTGTATTTCTGTTAATTACCAGGACGGAGGCAGCGGCGTACCATCGCGGAGAACTGGAACGACGTCTCAAAGGATCGTTTTCCACTAATTAATAATTAAGACAATGCGTGCGCGCAAACAACGACGGCGATAAATTTTAATGGCTCGCGTATTGATTTTCCCCGGTGGCGGCGAACGGGAGAATTCAGCGCGTGCCACGTCGGAATCGGACAAACGGTACATTCACCTACAAACCTGCACGGTCGTACGATTTCATGAGCGGAGATTACGAGATTTCCGAAACCCGCCTCGATTTCGTCCCCCGCGGAACCGCGCGGACGTGGGTAGGTCCTCGGGACGAATGTGCCGCTGGAAAAAACGGCAACGATCCACTTTCTCGGCGCGACCGATATGCTTGCTCGATCGGAATATCGGAAAGTCGAGGAGGGTGGCGAACGTGGCTGTACTTAGGTGTAACGGCGCTGTTCGTAAAGACTTCCTTCCTTCTCCTTTTCCGTTTCCTCGTTCCGTCGTTTCGGCGTCGATCGTTCACGGACACAGTTGCGGAAGACGTTCGCGAGTCGACATCGAACCGTGCGAGTCCACGATCCACGGGGTAACTCGATCGAGCTTCGCAGCGAGCTCCGATTGTGCAGGCTGCACGAGGAATGCCGCTCTCGGGCGACAGTTCGCCGGCGATTTTGGGAAATAGGCGAAACCCGGCGACCGGGATTAAACGGGAAGATTACTTTGGAAAGTAGGGCGAGTTCGAAACGCGCGTTTGCACTGGAACGCCACTCTTCCATAGTCCGTTGAGCGCGATCCTCTATCGTTGGGACGTTTGCGACTTCTCTGACGGTTTAGGAGGTATTTAAAGGGTCGGGAAGTACGTTTCGTTTCGGGAAAGGAAAACGTTGCGTCGGATAACACCGCATTCCTGTCGCTCTCCCCGCGTCTTTGATTGTGTTCATCGTTCTATCGCATTCGCTTAACCGCTTGTGATTCGAGGAAAAGTAAAGTAAGGCATAGCTGGCAGTTATGGTCACGACGTTGCAATTGAAATTGAAATTGAAATTGAAATTCGAATTTGGCTCGAGTAAGCGACTCTAGTCCGTTCAATGGCGCGCGAATACGCCCGCCCGCTTCGATGTACGCCGCTGTGTTCCGGCCTCGTGCTCTTTCACCTACTAACGGTTACTTTATTACGGTTCCTCGAGTCTCGGTAAACTGCTCGGCTACGCTTCGCGATGGCGACCTTCGCGCGCGAAAGATCCATCCCGTGCCCGGCCAGCCGCGATTCGTCCGGCTGGATCCTCGGCCGCTTTCGAACGCGTTTCTGGTAACACGATCGTCCCGACTATTTCGCGATCTGCTTCGCGTTACCAATTTTCTCGAACGAAATCCCAGATCGGTGGGAACTGGCCGTCGCGAGCTCTCTCGCGCGTCGAAACACAGAAACGGGGATGTTATTTACGGGCCACGAGGTAGCCGCGTTACGCAGATTCGTCACGGGTTCGTCGCAGAATCGATGCGAGCGAGGCACGGATCGTGCAGGATCGTAACACGATTGTAACACAATTGTAACGCGACTCCGACACGTCCCCGTGTAAACGGATCACTCCAATTCCACGTAGCAGTGAAAATCGGCGTGATTCTGGTTCCGCGAGTTCGCTGTTTACGCGGAGAAAGAGCAGACCAGCCGTCGTATTCCACCGTTCATGGAGAACTTCTAAAAAAGAAAGACGCTTCGAGTCGTCCCTCCCGGCGAATCGTTCGTCGCAATTGTTCCAATCGCGTCGAGCCCGCGTTACGTAAAGGAACCTACGGCCGCGACGACGTGCTGGGAACAGCCATAACGGTACGGAACGAGAACGATCCCCGAAAAAGCCGAACAACCCGATCCGCGGGCGAGTCACTCGCAATGAAAACTGTAAGTACCTTCTTCTTCGTTATAATCGACGAGGGATTTTCGCACGACTGCGCATCGTTCGACGAGTATTTCGATTCGGTCAGCTGAGAATATCGCGTGGTCGTGGTGTGTATCCAATTTTAGCGGGCCTCGGGAGGACCGCGGACTACGCACGCGTTGCAACCAGAATCGCGAGAAGAATGCATAAACCGTCGAGTCTCACTTGGTCGCGACTGTTCCGCTCTCGTTCTCGCGGTTCCCCGCGGCGAGCGACGATCGATGATCGATGATCGACGATGATCGTCGATCGCCGATCACCTACGTAACGAAGGTATCAGGCACACCGACAACTTTTCCGCACGAAATCCTCGCGACCTCCCGAAACGCGCGCGAGAGCTGCTCCTCCACTCGAAACGCGTCGCACGAGCGCTGACCGGCGACTCACTCCCGCTCGGC